TCGGAGCGTAGTGAAACGAAGTGAAGATTTATACTTCAGTTTAGCCATTTTGAAAAACGTCTTTTTGTTTTCTTTACGTCGATGTACAGTCAAAACCATTAGCGCGAAAAACTTGAAACTTAGTATGTAATGTTTCCTGAATGTGATGATGTGCTGAAAAAAATTTCTAGGACATCGAAGGTCATTTGTCGGGAATTCGAACTTTGACCTTGGGAGGTCAATTGAAGGTCATTTCATGATTTTTAACACTTTATCGTCACACTCAATAAGAGCAATTATGTTGCCACTAAAACTCGCGAAAATAAGAGAAAAAACTAAAAACACCGTACAAAACATAAAAAATTAAACCTAATCTCTTGAATGAATAACAATAATAGATGCGAAAAAATTCAAAAATTGAATCACTTTATCATTCAAAATATGGTTGTTCGCGTAATTTTTCCTGCGCTAACTTTTTATACATTGATTGCAACTAATATAACCACATATTGACCAAAAATTGATCTTTTGCATCTTATATTTTTCTTATTTCTTAGTCTTTATTAACGTGTTATACACTGCTCGTCAAAAGTTTAAGGCCACATGATTTTCTTCTTGATTTCTGATTTTTAAGTAATCCTTTCAATTCTTAATGATTGGATTAGTCCAAGCTTTGTCGGAATAATGCATTTGCTTAATTAAAGTTAATTTAGAACTGAAAATTGCACTCTAAAGATTAAAATTAAGGCACACATATGTTATCCATATGTTCAAAAGTATAAGGCCACCTAAATCCAATTAAGAATTTTCGACCAAGAATTGATTTAAAACACGATGCAAACCTTTTGCAGACCATTTTTTCAAGTTCTTTCATTTGCGAAGCTCAGTTTTTCTGTATCTCTTCTAGTTTTCGTTCTATGTTAGTTAGTGATCAAATTGCATAATGCCTCGCGCTTCAGCTCTTAATGACTATGAAAAAGGACAGATCGACGCTATGATTAAGCAAGGTGCTTCATTGAACTCAATTGCAAAGGAAATCAACAGATCTAGGTGTGTTGTGCAAAGTTACGCAAAGTTAGGTGAAAATTATGGATCATCTCCTCGTTCTGGACGCCCTCCCCTGCTTAATGATCGTGATAAACGGAGAGTTTTGAAATTGGCCTCGACTGAAAAATTAACTTGCTCCAAGATCCTATCAGAATTACAATTGCCTGTTTCCCTAAGCACCGTCAATCGAGCTGTAAACCAATCTGGATTCATGGAATACACTTCGATGGATGTAAAGCCAAAATTGACGGAAGCTCATCGTGAAAAAAGGATGGAATTTGCTCGTTATCATATGCAATGGAAGGACGAATGGCTATCAGTGATATTCTCTGATGAAAAAAAGTTCAATTTAGATGGTCCAGATGGATTAAAATGCTATTGGCACGATCTAAGGAAGGACAAGCAAGTTTTCTCAAAACGTAATTTTGGAGGAGGTTCAATTATGGTGTGGGGTGCATTCAGTTTCAATGGTGTTCTACCTATTGTGAAAATCTCCTCATCAATGAATTCATTGGATTACATCAAAGTTTTGGAAGAAAATCTGATTCCAAATGCTGCAACAAATGCTGGTTCTGATTGGATTTTCCAGCAAGATAATGCAAGAATTCACGTTTCAAATGCCACCAAAAAATTTTTCCAGGATAATTCAGTGAAAGTATTGAGTTGGCCAGCATGCAGCCTGACCTAAACCCTATCGAAAATTTATGGGGATTGATTGCGCGAAAAGTTTATGCAAATCAGAGGCAATTCAATAAAATCGATGAATTATGGGATGCAATCCAAAATGCATGGTATGGATTCGAGCCTGAATATCTACAGAACCTTATTATGTCGATGAGCAACAGAATCTTTGATGTCATTAAATTAAATGGCAGTCAAACTAAATATTAAATAGGAATTAATAAGTGGCCTTATACTTTTGACGACCCAAAATTTTTAATTTTTCCCCTATTTTTTCCCCCTTTGATTTTTTTCAATTTTTTTTCTTGGTTAGTCATCGCAATAAAAACTATCTTCATTTTGATAAGGTTTCGGTTTTTTATACCTTTTATTAAAAAAATTATCAAGAAAAATCAAGTGGCCTTATACTTTTGACAAGCAGTGTATATTGGCAGAAAGTGCCTACAAAGCCTGCTTGCACATCTATGAATCTTTGCGTGCGTATTATATATTGTTATTCACTTTTCTGTGAAATCCGACAAAGGTTTTTTGTTATGTCTTCAGTATTTTATTGTGGGATAAGGGATTTACAGTACCTTAGTACTAAAAAATTGTATGTTTAATGTAGTATATGTATAGGATATTCATATTGAAGTTTCAAAGTTCATTTTGAATACAAATTTATTACATTTTGGATCGATGATTTTTTCGGTTATGTTTAAATGAGGAATCGATGTTAAGGTAACCAAAAGGGAAACATCGTTTTGTCTGAGCATGAAAACTGTGCCCGACTCAATGGTTCAAGTGAGTAAAACGTCAGAAACCAACCCACAGGTTTGGGTTTGAATGGGTTTACACTCAGTTGAACATGATATGACTGGACGAGGGTTAAAAAAGGTTTCGAGAAAAGCTTTCGGTGAAAGATCGTAAGTAAAACAGTTTGCCAAATGGTCAACAATGGATTCAACCGGAGTAAATCTGTCAAAGCCTTACTTTTCGGTAAATAACTTGAGAGAGAGAGAGAGAGATTGTGCATGTTGGTTTAGTAGCTCAAGCTTTTCAGGTGACAATTAATAATTAATTTATTTATAATAGTTTCCTGATCCGGGATGAAAACAGTCCAAAGAACGATAGGGCTAGCATGTTGAAAAACAACTTTAAAATTTGACGAATCATAATTATTGGTATTATGATTGGTATTTGAAATTAAAAAAAGTGTTGTAAATTTTGATGAACGCAGAAGTAAAATATTGAGTATCTATAGCATTTTTAGGGTGAAAAAAATAAATGTGCAACTGTACAAGCATTTGATCTGTTTTTCATTCTATTTAAACTATCATTAGTCACTGTTTACTTAAAACTATGGTGATTCAAATAAGCAAAATGAAAGAGGCTCTGATGATCTTGCTGAAAGTCAAGCTTGACTACATAATTTCAGCTAATTAGACTCAACCAACTTTAATAACTATTAACTAGCTGGGACAAGATTCAAATATCAAAACCTAGTAAATTTAAGGCAAAAATTGGCCAATATCGAGTGAAATTCTGAATATTAAGAGTGATATTGAAAACATGGATGAATAATGATTAATAAGTTTCACTATTCTATCCATCTGTTCTGAGGGCCACTACGATAAGACATTGTTTATTTGAAACTATTTAATTCTTTATGACTAATAATCACTCAACGAAACAGTACTGAATTATTAAGTCAAATTTATAAGACGATAAACTGCAACACGCATTTTAATAGAGATTGATTGATCCTTCATAGTATGAGGAGAGACATGAGTTGTTATTAACTATGTCAATACACCTTTCAGGCTTAAAATTTTCTTTTTATCTTTGAAGTTAATGTTTATTCAAGGCAGTGCAGTCTAGTTAGCCGAAATTATGCGTGTTCGCGTTGATGCTAGTGACATGTCCATAATGCATTCTGGTCAAAAGATATGAGTGTTTACACATTTTTGTGTTGATCGATTGGTTTTAAGTAAAATGCATTTATCTTATAACGGTGTAAGATACTAACTCGTAGTATACATCAACCGATCTGAAAATTTTTGCACTCTTAGAAAATGACCTCCAAATATCAGTTAGAGGTCAAATAACGAAACGACCTTGAATGACCTTGACCTTAGACTATGACAATTGAGTATCGCCCAAATTTCCAGTAACAAAATACCGAACCTCTAGGTCACTCAGGGGCAAAGATATAGCCAATTTACAACGGGAAAATTAGCTGAAATGCCCTGTAGTATAATATATAAATTACTCTGACTTGTTTAAAAATATTTCGCGCTCTAAATTACGGATGAAATATAAACATACTATCATTTTTATTACGCATTTACTTATTTATCCTTATTGTATTGTATTCATTATTAAACGATTTTTTAGCAGAATGAGATTCACAACGAAAAGTCCACGTAAACGAAAGCGATCAGATAAGCATTACTATAGAAAAAAACAGACCATTCAAGGAAGTCGAAGGAAGTTGACAAAACAAATACATCTGAAACAAATCAAGCTAACATATCAAACAGTCAAACGGCAGGTCCAGTTATAATTGGTAATTCAACAGATCCCGTAAACAATGAATCTTCTGAGATATTCAATGTGCCTAGAGTTGATTATGGCCATTTACATAGACCTTTATTTACAATTTTTACAATTTTTCTGACACTGATGAGTCCATTTTTGATAATGCAAGAACAAGTTTTGCGAAATCTTTTTGCTTTCTCTTTTGCTTTAAACATAACAATCAAATGAAAGGTTGTCAAGAAAAATCACCCGAATAGAGTATCTGGCCAATCTCAGTGACAGTATGAGTCGAGTCCAAAGATACTTAAATCAATCAAACCTAGTTACATAATGAGGTTTATTAGGGTAACTTACAAATGGTGAAATTTATGAAATGGTTGAAATCGTACGTGAACAGCAGACGAGCTGACGAGCAGATCGTCCACCAACACAAGAACCTCTTTCCTCATTTATTCAAGAATATGACGAATTTCAATGTTTCCTTTCGCCTTCTTTACTTGTCTCATGTTAATTGATTCCTTTCTTCTTTTTTACCTTTTTCCACTAATCTTGATCTTTTTCTTATAATGCGGCCACGCATAAGAATCTCACAATGGCCACTTAACCAATTCTCAAATTGTCCAATTATTGGTTGTAAAAACAACTTGTCTTTCCTGCTGATTTTTCATTTCTTCAATTGAAAACTCAATCAACGTTCAACTTGTCAACAAGTTGTTATCAAGTTTGAAAAAAGGCTTCTGTGAAAACATTCAAACATTCATTCGTTTCTTGCCCTTTGAATGCGATGGAAAAAAGTTAATGGAAAGTTGCAGCGGTTCTTCAATCACTTTTTTTGTGAACTGCACAAGTTTAATCTTTGTGAATCAAATGAAATTGTGAAAGATTATCCTTAACTAATCGAGTTTCATTACAAGGGAAAATGAGGTAAAAGAAAAGCATTTTTGTCTGAAGAATCAGACGAATCAGATCATTTTGAATCAAAATTTTGGTTGATTTAATAGTACAATAAAGTGTTGAAAATAAATTAATTTGACTTTGAAAAAAGAATCACAGTTTTGAGTTTGCCTCGAGTTTTTTTTGTCGTTGAAATTTGGATGAAAAAGTTGCAAATTTCCTTTGCCAAACACACTTTTTTCAGAGTTTGAATGAAACTTTTTTCCTCTCCTTTCCTTTGTTGAACTTAATGGTGGACCTTTTCACATGGACTGTTCTCTGTGAAACTGGTGTCCCAAATGATTGGCTGAATGGGTGAATTTAAAGCTACCCTGGAGTTTGTTGGTGGAACCGTCTGTATGCAAGTTGGTTGAAATTTGATTCTTTTCATTGAATCCTGTGATTGAAATTGAGAGATGAAAAAAATGAAGCAAAGGTAAAAAAATGTTGAAATAATGAACTTGAGTTGCATCAGTTGAAGATGTACTCACGTAATTGAGCGGGGAAGCATTTGCTGGTGAATTTGGTTGATAGTTTGCTGAGTAAATGTTTTGTCCGTAATTTGTTTGCAAATGAATGTGATTATTGGGCGCTTCATTGGACCACATGAAGCTTTCCGTCCCATGATCAGCTTTGGATGTTGCAGTTGACGAGATTATGCTTGTTGCATCAGCTTGAATATTGTACTTGGCCAACTCGTTTTTGGCCACAGCAATGCAATCAAATGTTGCTATTGGATTTTTAACTGAATCAATTGCATAAAAACTTTTCTCCAAATTGTTTGTCCTCGATATGTCAGGTAAATAACTTTCATTTTCCACTATTCGCGGACTATTTTTAGGATAATCTGTTGAATTTTAATAGAAATAGAAAAAAATGATTCAGTTCATTGATGGATCATGAAAAAAAGTTCAACTGCAAAAGCAAAAACAGCTCCATCTAATGCGGAGTAAACAAATTATACTCTAATGTACTTGGTTACAGACTCTCCAGTACAGAGACATCTATTGATGTCAATGCTCAAATCATTATTGATATTTGGATAATGGTAAAAGCAAAATACCGAGCAAATAAGCAAATTGAAATAAGTTTTGCGAGTTCTTTTATTTCGACAAACAATATATAACAACGTCCCTTTGTGCTTTTCCGACTATTTTCTAACTATTTTTATTCTATTCTATTAATGATGCCGTCGAAAGACGTTTTTATTTAAAAAAGAGCGCAGGCAGAAACTCGAGTATTCGAGTTAAGTGTTGAGCCTTGGCGGTTTGTAGAAGCATAAAAATTTAGTGCATAAGAGCTATTGAATAATCTCTCTGAATATTTTTCGAGAAAATCGAGGTCAAAGTTGAAACTTCGATCACCTTTTTTCAAGATTAGATTTTTTCATAGAACTCATTGTCCTGTTGTAACTTTTGCTGATTATCCAAGCAAATATTTTTAATGAAGAAATTGTCTTTTTCTGTACAACAGATCACTTCGATCACTTATCGTGTTGACTTTGACTGTTGGCTCCATCTATAGCAGAAAATTGCAACTAAAGAGTATTGAAATAAATTAATTTGATAAAAAGTTGATGAAATGCAATTTTTGTGGGAAAGTTTAATTTAAAATTGAAAGAGAAGTTGGAAATTGACTTTTGATTTTGATGAAGCATTTTATTTCATTTTCACAGATAATTTCAAAATGATGCATTAATGCATTGTCTCAATAGATGGCAACTGAAGCATCAATAGTTGAGTGCAATGAAACAAAACAATTACAATGAAAAATTAGTTTCCAACTTTTACCAATACTTTTTCAATTTAAATTGAACCATTCAATTGATTCTTCATTTCTATTATTTTAGCTCAATTCAGTTGCACCCTGAGTGATTAGATGAAATTGATCAAATCTTTTTCCCTCTCTCTCTCTCCTATCTAATTATTAGTTGAAGATGATAATGACTGATAAGCCTTCAATATATAAAAGAAGGTCATAAGTGTTGGAAGGAAGTTCAATATCGGAAAAAAGGCAAGATAAACTTCCGTTTGTTGGTGATAAAAACAAGGGAAAAAAGTATGATGCAAAAGATAAAAGATGATGAAGATGAGGATGATAATGATGCTCATCTCGAGTAACCTTTAATCTTAATTTTTCCCTCAAGACATGCGAATCTTGTCATTATAATCATCACCATCTTTTCCCTTCTTTTTACCAATATAATGGTATATCGATATGATTAATGAAACTCCCCTGAAATATATACTTTGTACTACTTTAGATTTGCCATTTTTTCTTCTCTATTTTCTTGATTCTCTTTTATCTTGCTCATCTCTTTTTTATTCCTACACTCATAATCGTAGCTTTATTTCCTGAGGCTTTCCCGGAGTTCAATAAATTTTTTGCTCCAAATGAAGGGCTCTGCTGATGAAAAGGTAAGAGTTAAGTCGGCAAAAGATGAGCCAAAGATGGGAATGAAAATATTGGAAAGAGTTGCTTTAGAAACTGGAAAAGTGAATGGAGAGCAAGATGAAGATGAAAGATGAAGATGGGGCGTAAAATGAGAAAAGGGTTTGGCAAAAGTTAATTGCAATGTTTGTCTCCCAATTGGCACATTAAATCGATTGGCAAGTGACCATTGAGATAACCTTTACTGGTTTAATGGTTAAACGTTTTTCTTTGGTGTTTCATGGATGAATGTTGATTGATCAAAGTTTCAAGTTGAGATTGAACAAGATGAAAGGGAAAATGTTGGACATGGACAGAGATGAAGAAAAACATTAACATGAAGAAGAAGAAGCAAAAGAGCAATAAGATGCATGAAAGATGCTCACAGCTTGTTATCAATCCCAACCTCGTTTGCACTGGGAACAACCTTTATTGGAAACCTTATTACGTTCACTGGTCACTAATCACTCTTCATCATCATCATTATCATTATCATCAACATCAGGATCAACATATTATTTCACTGATTTTCTTCTTCTGCTTCTCTCTCTCTCTTCCTTTTCTCTTTGGGCATCAACATCATTGGTCATCTTATCTTGATTACATGTCCAGTCTCGGTGATTGTATATACAAGAGCAATTGGAAAGGTAACAAAAACAGTGAAAGGAAAAGAAGAAGCAAAAAAAGTTATTTCATTTCTATTATAATTTTTACTCTCATTACTGGTCAACTGACTTGAATTTCAATGGTTACAAGTTGGAACAAGCAACACTTTGATTAAATCCCGAGTCCATTGATTAATGTTTATGGTGTGCTTTCAATTTCATGGGCAAACTTTTTGTCCAACAAACATTTGGAAAAATTTCAACAAAAATGTCGAAAGTTGGCAAAAATAGATTTTCTCAAATCGTCCATTTAAAGCGCACTTGCACTTACGGTGTTTAAGTTTACAATTTACAATAACTTTCAACTGATCTTTGATCATCAGTTTTGGTTTAATCTTTTCTTGGCTTTAAATTTTTGCTGCTGTTTTTAGAACTGAAAGAGCTCGATTTGTTGTCGAAGAGACATCATTGACCGTTGAATTTCTTAAATAAAGAACTTTTTTACAGGCAAAAAGCAAATGAACTCGATTCAGTCTTCAGATTTAATCTTTTAAAGATTTTCTCATTTGAAAGTGACGATAAAATCGAAATACGAAAATTGATATTCCCAGAGTGCAAGCCATTCAAGAAATGTGCACTCAACTGTATACTTTTTTGGCACAATAATGGTTATTATGGTATGTATTATTTCAAATTTGGAATAAAATTGTTTCTCATTGAACAATTCTTTCAAGATTTGTTTCAATCTTCTGAATAAATTTGTGAATCGAAAAAAGTTTCAATTTTCTTTTCTTTTAAGGTCCAGACAACGGTCCTGTAAGACGAAGAATGTATACTCTAACAAAATTTTCTTTAGACTTGAAGATCTCGTCGAATCTCGACTCACCGAGTCCGATCTGATTGCACTAACTATTCTAACGAATTCAAAAGTTTCTTCCAAAGGATCTGATATTCAGAACTAATCGAATCGGATCGTCAACAAGTCGCATAAAATAAATAGAGAAAATCTCATTTTCAGCTTACAAAAACTTCTCAACACTGTTGTTCAGATACCAGCTTAATATACTTCAAGTCTAATTTTTCCATCGAAGGTAAAGTCGACTACAAAATAAAAATACAAAACACGCGAAAACAGCGTCAAAAAATCGCAGACCGACATAAGATTATTGAAGTAATCGAAATTTTCGTTTCCACAAAAAAATCAAATTTTCTTCCATTTCAATTGCGCTCTTCAATGGAACTCTTGACGGAAAAATTTCTTTTGAATCCTCAACCATAATGAACACACTTATGAACCTGAATCGATAACTTTTAATCAAGCCAACAATTTACACTGGTTTAATCAATGATTTCTTTTCTTGTATAGAACCTGATTCCAAACATTTGATTGCTCATTTTTATCCTTTTGTCTCCTTCTTGACCACCATTCTTGGTTATATTGAACTTGGTGGATAACAATGGGAATAAAAGTAGTAAAATAAGATGCGAAAAAAAAGTGTTTATAAGAAAAACATTTTTCTTTTTTTTTCTTCTTCTTCTCACTGATAATATTTATAATAACAACAATAACAGTGTGAGTAATAATGGGACAGGGAAGGAATAATAATCTCCAGAGAATTGAAATGTACACACAACCAAATATATTTATTTCTTCTATGGATACTTGCTTTGTATCCCATTTGGTTTTGATATTTTTATACTCATTTTCATCCAGAATATACGGATAAAGATATTTATATAATATTATGTGACCAAACCCAGTAATCCTTTGTAAGCTTCTGATGTAAGTTTTTCTGATCCTTATCATGATCTTCAGTGAATATCGTTTTCCTCTCTTTTCTCACTTTTCTGCTTTTCACACTTTTTCTCCTTCTTTGACACAAAATCATCTTCGATATTATTCGCTTAGCCTTTTCTCTCTGGTCTTTTCTTCTTTACCTAACAACTTTTATATCAAAGAAACTCGGGAAATCAAAACGCTGGCAATGAAGGAAAATGAAGAAACTCTATTACCTTTTCTTATCCTGGTCAAGTTACGACGAGATAATTATTTGAATAAAAGACTTGGGCTAATCAAGTAAATTTAATCAAGAATCAATGAGAATTGGATTGAATGAGGAAACGAAAGAAACGTTAAAGAAGATTATAACAAGATCATTACCATAAACAAAATTATTGAACAGTTCAACTTGTCGACAGATTTGTGGACATTTCATTTTCTCATTACCTTTTCTTCCATTATCTTGGTCAACTCTTTTTTGAGCTGCCCATTGAAATACTTTTCTTCCTTCCTTATTGACCTTCTTTACCTGGTGTGTGTTTGTCTTGCAAGTTTACCTTCAACTTGAGTTTGACTCTTTTTTTTCGTCACTAAACTTTTTTTCTCTCGTTTAATCAAATTGTTCAATCTTGTCTGAATTGTAAAGAGTCATGTCAATTGTATCTTCTTTTTTTAGAGGTTATCAAAGTTTCCAAGTTGAATCGAGTTGAGGAAGAAAGAAGACAATGGAATGAAGAAGATTGAAGGAGAGAGTTGAACAAAAAAATGGTTAAACGTGATGATCATTTTGAATGGTTACACTTTAGTTTAACCAAATGTTTAACGATCATGGTAAAAACCTTTTACTTTTGAAAAGAGAGACTCGAAAAATAAACAAAAACGATTCAAAAACTCGATTGAATTCAACATCGAAAATTGAGTTTTCACTAAATCTTGAAAAAATGCGCATTTTGCAAGTTTAAGCTCATCAAAATTTAATCGAAAGTTAATCGTCAAGATTTTTCGTCACTTTTGTTTAGCTTTGAGTGATTCTCGCTGATGGTTCAACTCAATTTCCTCAGATTTTCACGAGAATCAACTAAGGCTGCGAAAAATTCAAAGAGAAATTCGTTGCCGAAGCGGAGAAAATTTTTTCATAGGAAAGGCATCATTTCCACACATGCAGCTGATGGGTTAACTTGACTCGTCAAAAGAAGAGAACTTTCGAATGTTGAAATTTCGAGTTTTAAGAAAATTTTCAAATTAAAATTCCAGGTTCGTTGATTGATTATGATCGTTCACATGCACGAGTTTTCAGCCCTTTCAACTCTTCTTTTTTACTGGTTTACTGAGTTGTTAATAAATTGTTACATTTTGCCTAGTAATTAACAAGCGTCCATTTGTTTACTCGAACCAGGATTGATTATCTCAAAGTTAAACATTTAACCAATTATTTTGATTGACTTAACTCAACTGTTTACCAAAGTAAAAAAGCAGTTAAAACATTTTACTTCTTTTACAATTTAAACCTTCATTTCAACATTATCCTTGAACCAGTAAATTTGATTCAATTTTGACTGTTACTTCAACTATACAAAAGCACAAGAATAAAACTGCAATGTTAATTGTCAAAATTTCAAACTCTTTTTCACTTTACATGATTATCAAATGAACACTTTTCAAGTTTGAACCAACTAACGAAAATTTCATTTCACTGGTAAAAAGTTTGCAACTAGAACATGATGAGCAAGAATCGAGACAAGAAGGAAATGTAAAATCAAATTCATCAATTGCTGTGTTGGCTTCAACTTGATGACTTTGAGTGGGTTGCGTTGATAGAAAAGAATGAAAAGTTCTCTGGAGAATTTTTTCTCCTTTTTTTCTCTCCTCTTTTGCATGCAGCTTCATCAGGTTCAGGGTGAATTAATTTGATTCGGTGAATGATGACAATAATCAATTAATGCAAAGAAAAGAAGAAGAAGAAGATTACACCAAAAGCTATAGATATGTTCACAGTGTCCATTGTTTTTTCGTTGATCGACTTTCTTTTGTCACAGACAATATTATCTTTAATGTTAAACTGTTTTCCCTTTGTGTTTATCAAAGTGTAACACATTGATTGACCATTAAGGTTGCAACCTTAATTTATTGTCCATTCACGAGTTGATAAGTCATCGTGTCCACAACTGTCTTGTGATTTCTTTTCATTTCTATTCAATTGAGAAAATTGTTTATTCTCTTGAAACTTTGCAACATTGTTTTTTTTCTTGTCGAAAAAAAGGCGCAAAGGCAACAATCTTGAAACTCGAAGTTGGAAAGGAAAAGAGTGAAAAGTTCTGTTTGTGTAATCAACTGATAACTTATTATCTTTTGATGAGGTTCAACAATGTAATCAGATATTGTTTCCAAATGGTATTCAGAATAATACATGAAAATGAAATGAAAGTCGATTCTTGGGAGAATAGGGAAAAGGAGAATAAAAAGGAAAAGCGAAAAAAAAGTAATTGAATTAACAATTATCGAACATTAATTTGTATCACATTTTCTTCTCTTTTCATTATCAATTAACCAAAATGATATCAACATTGATCTTGATTGGAGTTGATTGAAACTAATAGTAAGAGCAAGCATTGTGTTTTGATTTCAATAAATTACCTGATGTCACTTGGCTTCTACACGAAGTATAAGATGTTTTCCTTTGTTTAATTATTAAGGCAATTAAGATGGTGACAACAATTAATCCACCAGCAATTGATAACAAAATGCCCATTATTTGATCCTTAATGGAACCTTGATCAGCTTCTATTTGCATATGTAAGTGCATATGGCAGGCGAGAGAAGAGAATAATTGAGAAGAAGGAAAAAAAGTTAAGTTAATAAAAAGATAATTTGATTATTGGTAAGATGTAATTAGTGAATATGAGCTTGTTGAAAATTAATTGCACTTCAAGTTTCATGAGTTTATGTTAAGTGCACAGTCTTTAATGAGAGGGAACAATTGACACAATTTTTGCAATGTAAAGCTCGACAAATGTTTTGTCACTTTGCTCACAACTGAAGTTGTAATCTGAAAAATCTTGAGAAACCATCAGTGAAATGATCTAAAACAAATCGAAGTTCGGACCAGAAAAACTCTCGAAACTATTGGCGGAATCAGTGCAACCTGACTAACCTGCACCCTCATCATCAGTTCCAGTTTCTGTTGATTTTTTTTTTGCTACACATCATATTGACAGTCGAAGTAGAAAGTGTTTTTTCAAATTTTTGGACTTTGACTAGTGATGCGAAAATCACATCTTAGTCGAACATTTTCGGGTTGGAAGAAAGAATATTAGAAAAATGTATTCATGATACAGCCTTTCGATTTCTCTTTTTTTCTGGTTATTAGCATTTTCTGAGAATTCAACGACTCAATAATCTACTCAATGTATTTCAATTGAAATATTTCAAGTGCTAAGATTTCTTGTATTTCTGTTAGATTTATGATTAATAACAATATAATGTTGAAGTGGATAAAAGTTTTAAATGCAAAAAGAGATAAATTGTTTCTTTTAAGTACATTTTTATCTTACCTTTTGATTGTTGTTTTTGGGGATTTGGCAAGGTTAATCCTGTAAGATTGACACTTTTACTTTTTCCTTTAAAATTTGTTGAGTAAATGTTAACCTTGTAAGGTGTTGAAGAGTGTAAATTGTTGATCCAAAAAATAGGTAACTCTAATGAGCTTTGATTGAAGATTAAATTATGTCCAGTATCGTACACTTGAATGGTAAAGGTTTGTTTAAGGCCTCCAGAATCACCAGGATCACATTTAACCAGAAAACTAGAAGAGGTAGTATTGTAAGCTGAACAGGCTCGAACGGGTGACGGCGGACCTTTAATAAAAAGAGAAGACAAAAAATTGAAAAAATCATTTCCATTAGGAAAAGCAAAAAGAAAACTTGGAAAATTTTCCCGTCGAAATTGATCATAAACCGTAAAAATCTTTCGATTCTTTATAACCTTTTCACATTGATAATTAAATGCTTTTTAGTTGAATTTTTTTCCAGACAAGACAAACATTCCTTTCAATTTAGCAAGTTGCTCAAATGTTTATTTTCATTTGAAAGTGAATCATTTTTGCAAACGATGAAACTGGGTCAATAATGTGTAATGATTAATAATGGACATTAAAGTGCATCACAATGTTATATGAAAAGATGATTAAAACTGTGGTCAAACATTGTTATCATTAAAGCTGTTTATTTTGATTTGAGGTGAGCAAGGGAAAGGATAACAACGGAAGTGTGTTTACCAAGTGAATAAACAGTTTTTATATCCAAAGGTTTGCAAGAATATTTCAAGATTTATTGATTCTCGACATGAAATTTCGATTAGAAAGACCTCAAGGGTTAACAGGAAGGTAAATCGGATGAAGAGCATGGAGAAAAAAAGTCGAGTCCACTTGAAATGAACCCTTGGGTTATTGACTGAACAAGAGATGAGAGAGAAGAGAAACTGATTGGAAACATTGTACAAGTAATGTTATCATCAACTTAATCGCCTCTACAATTTGATATCTTAATGTTTTGATAAGATTATCTCACAAGAAATGAATTAATTGAAAAGAATGGCGATAAATCACTGGAACCTTTCAGTTGATTGGCCATTATTGTACAAGCTGTGTCGTGTTTTATTAACAGTTTCAATCGAGTTTCGTTCAAATGACGAAACAATGAAATATTGACCATCAAATAATAATTGAAAAATTGGAAACAAAAGGAAAGGCTAAAAGTGTAAAATTGTCAAATCTCTTTATTCCCTCCCAGCAGTTGCACCAGTAAATGGAATGCAATTTTTATTGGGTTCGTAATTTTCATCATTCAGAACATTATTGCTTCCTTTATCATTTCATGATAATGTTGCAAACTTTTTTTATATCTTTTCTTCATGATGACAGGTTGGTTCAAGATTCACTTTGGAATGAGAAAGAGGAAGAAGGGTAAAAGATGAAGATGACCCTGGGCTCATTGAGTTCAAATTGAAAATTCACCATTAAATGAATTGTTGGTGGAAAAAAGAATAAGAGAAAAAAACTTTTCCAACGGCTCATCAAATTCATCTTTCTCTTCTTTTTACCCCTTTCCTTTCATTTACTAGCTTTTAACATTATTATTATGATTACCATTATTGTTATTATTATTATCATGTAATAAATATTTTCAATACCACTTGGTAAAGTTGACAATAAAGATTGGAGTCAAATTTTGCACCTCAATGACAATCTTTTCATTTCGACTTTTCTTTTTTCTCTCTTTTTGGTCCAATATAAAAACTCGAAACTGTTCAATAACAATGAATCGTTTTTGTTCACTTTTTTCAAGACAATTTTCATTCTTTCGTGAAACATTGTCGTGGATGGTTAAGTAAGGATGAAATTTGAACATTTTCTTGTATCAACTGGAATGAAGGTAAACCTATCAAAATAATAAGCAATCACGACGAAAACAATATTTTCTGTTTGGCCCATTAAATCATCTTGGGCAAGTATTAAATGCTTTGCTTTCTTTTGTAGCAAATTTTTTTGAAGAGCGTTTCTTAAAACTGTCAAACTGGAGCAATCACAATTTGATTTATTGTTAAATAAAATTGAAAAATGTTTATTGTTTGTTGAGATGATGATGTTGATAACGCAAGAGGATGCAAATAGAAAGGAGAAGAAAAATCTTTATCAAAACTTGTAAAAAACAAGAAATCATCTCAAGCTTTTTTTTAATGTGATAATAAAAAAGTAAAATTTATCAATTCTGGTTCGTATTATTGTCACTTCGAGTCGCAATTTTGGTACAAAGGACGAAAAAAAACTTGTAAACAAAATCAAGATGATGCTAAGGATTCATTCTTCTTTCCATTTCAGCTTAATCATGAATAGCTATCTTCAGAATTAAAGTTTCCAGAATCAACTTTATATTTGACTTTAATTAGAAATTATAATATTGAACAATGTGAACAGAGAAACAGTCTTATAGAAGAATTTCCAGTTGAAATTCATTCTCTTAAACATCCATAAGAGTATTCAGCTGTCTTGAAAACAATTGAAAAACGCTTAAATTAGTTGATTTAGCACAAGTTTAAATGTCACTTTTTCATCTATTCAATAAAATATAATAATTGTATCAATATCCGTATAAGTGGTGTTATCTTTTATCACATGACGGTTTTATTCATTGTCTTTGTTAAATTGATGATATACAATACAAATGAAATACAAATGAGTTAATTCAAATGAGTAGTAAAAGTAAATATTGGGCTATGACTGCGAAATACAGCAAAAATAGTTGTGATAATTAAAAATTCTTGGCAAAACGTATGTTTTTGTCTTCAAAATTATTTTAATGAATAAGTACTAGACATGATGTTTGCCTTGGTTATGTTTCGACTGCTGTGAAGTTATTGATCAGTTGAAATAATGTATTCGTGACTTCTAGAAAAGTCATCAGTAGTTTGATCACCTGAGTTCAAATTAAAGAATGACTAGTTGTAGCCAAAATAGATAATAAGAAATAGTTGCAATAAAATACTTGTGAATTCATTATTTTTTTATTCAGTTTCGAGCAATACTATAAATACACAGGATTTAACCAAATTTCAACTAATTAGCTTCATCATTTAGACGATTAAAATGTTCATTGTACGGTTCAAAGTCAAGCATGAAACATATCATCAAAAATGTTGACCCTATTTCCATGCCGAACTATAAAGACGGTTAAGAAAACTAGATCAAAAATAATGTGCGATGTGAGAATAAGCTCTGACCACATACAGTACAGGGTTGCAGTTCACAAGAACTTTTGCGTACGCTTATGTCAATGAAACTAGATTCGACGAAAACGAACTAGAAAAACTTAATTTTTCATTATCATTTAGATTTGATCAAGGTTAGATAGTTGTAGTGAGCTCAAATAATGAAACCAATTTTGCTTTATTTTCTAATGTGAGCTCACAAACTTACTAATCTTTAAACCATATTTCTTCACATTTTCTTAAATCTTTAACCCTTTTCTCTCTGAGCTCAAAGATTTAAGCTTGAACTTAAACTTTAAATCTGTGAGCTCACGCATGAGCTCACAGTTTTCCCTGCTTTCCCTACATTTTCAAGGTATAAAAACCCATGAGCTCACGGCTTTAGGGCAGCATTTTACACCGATCAATTATTTTATTTCTTACTTTTGACTTATTCTAATAAACACACGTTTTCCCCTTTACATTCACTTTGACTATCTTTAATTTTGTGTTTTACATTTGTCCAAGTATGAGCTCTCAAACAAACTCAAACTCAGCTACGACAATAGTACGTGAATTTTATTCATTCAAAATTAGGTATTCATGTTTGACTTTCAGAAAAGTCATTACATCCTCCATCATTTGAATAGTTTAATCATCCTTCTGTTAAGAAAACGGTGACTAATAATAGTGCTGTGAAAAAACACAAAATCGAAAAATGAAATACATGAAAACCGTTCGTTTTTTATCAAATTCATTATTTGTTCATCTTGGTTGCAAATGTAAATACATTGTTTGTTCATCTTTATAGCCATGCTTTAAATACGGAGAATTTCTATACACATTTTCATGGTTTGTCTTTTGTTCACTTATTCAGTGTTTATAAAGTTAGTCTTCCTCGATATTAATTGTAAAGGGTCGGCACATCAAGTTAATCATTACCCTCTTTTATCATATCAATGACCAATGAATGTGCGTTACTCAATCGTATCCTATTCTAACTGATCTCAATTACTAATCTTTCCAACCAAAAATTATTACCTGAACTCACCCTTGCTTGCTTTGCAAATTCATTTGAAATCAAAGTGTTGACTATTGATTTGTGTTGTTAGTGTATTGTACTGCAAAACGATTCAGTTAAATCTTTAACCCATGACTCTAAGTCGCAAGATCTCGGTAAGTATTTCCATAATTCCATCGATTGTAGTTCTCTCATGAATTCTAAAGCCTGCCATAATTTTTCAAAATTGAAATGAATTTCCAAATTATAAAGGTGTTTTTCAGCATTTCAATGCTATCAATGTTTGGATTCGTTTTTGGACAGGACGTTTTCGTTCCATGGACACCCGAAGTTATTGAACTCGTGCGAGGAAAATCATTAGAACAAGTACAGGACGCAATGGCAAAACTTCTAGGTGGAACTAGACTACAAATACCTGAACAAGATAAAACATTTTTCGATAATATGGAAAATTTGATTATTAATGGAACAATGAACGATGTTCTTGCAGCTATGAATGTATTGCAAGGGCAGTCACGAACTCAATTACCTGAACCAGATAATGGACTAGTAGATGTATTACCATTGCAAGATGTGACAACACCAGCAGAGAGCGAGGTTGCTCCCGCTCGCATATTCCGAGTAGATATGTTCCAATAAAAACAAGAATTGCTAGGTCAAGCTTAAACTTGGGTATCAGAGTAAGATATTTGGTTCAAAGATTGTTTAATCCCTGTCAAACGATATGACTATGAATAAATAATGAATTCTAAATGTCAATATCTATTGATTTCATTTTAAACATTTTTTATCAATTTTTATACTCATAGAGACCCGTTTCAGTAAAGACATTGAACAGCATTGGGAATTCTGGATGAATACGTGAATGAAAAAATATCAAAGCAATTGGTGGGACTATGAATAAATAATTAATTTTAAATTTCGAAATTCGATTTTATTTTTACTTAATTTTTTTTGTAAAAAGCACCACTCAATGCTTGCTATAGATGTGTGCAAAAACCGGAATTTCTAAAAGTTTATCATACAATTTCGATAGTCAAATCTTTAAGCCCAGCGAAGAGAATCAAGAAAACTTCTGTTGAAGTAAAAATAGAGTCCGATTATGTAGTTCAACTCGCTACGTAAAACAATCTTTCAAGTTTGAAATTACCCAACAGATTTATCATTTAACTGCTCTTTATCGCAATTTTGAGTAGAACAATCAGATTTAATCAACGGGTTCCACAAAATGCTTTTTTCGACTAACTACTCACTTTTCACACATCTTTAAAAGTTAAGGACTTCACAAAACGTTTACCTTTTAGTTTGTGAGTTATTATGGAAGCTTAAATAATTGTTGCACAATGGGAAAGTTTGATGGGCGAAGATTAATTTCCCAAGCTGTATATCTAGAGGTAAGAGTCTACATTTCAAGTATACTTAATAGCTATCTATTCGCATGAAATTGTTTCAGGTAAAATTATTCCAAAACTATTCTTTCCTACACTCAATCGGTCTCATATTCCATGTTGTTTTATGCAATAACATTTTTATTGTTACCTCAATTCCTTAGCTGATTGGATAACAACCTAGATAAAGTTTCCAGATAATTGGAGTTACCTATTATTCCATTTTTCTTCACAATGTATAACATATCTATTTACTCGATTCCCTCCCTTTCCACCAGTTATAAACTATACTAAACAATCTAGTATTACCTTTGTTTCATCTTGAACATTTCGTTACTTTGCTCTTACTCTTCTACTCTCAACATTTTACTTGAACCATCAATGACACCCAAAGCCCAATAGCCAAGTTGCACAGTATTACATTTCATGTAAACAAAAATGAAGGAAAATCCAGGAGAAAAAAAGTGAAACAACGAAAAAAGAATAAAGAAAACAATATTCATGGGTAAAAGTTGAGTCTCAATTTCATGGAAAGAAGTAGAAGAAAAGTAAAAGAAAAGAGATAAAATTTCAATTTATGCCTACTTTTCACCTCATCAATCGGGAAGCATATTTATCTTTGGAAATTTCGTTATCACTAGATTATCACCCAAATTGTACTTATACCCAACTTGAATTGGAATTAGTAAAGAGACAAATGCTCTTGAGGAATAAATGAATGAATAAATGGCATGTTATTTGTACATGGAAAACCAAGGAAATTCTGTTGCATGGTAAATTGATCGAAACGTTGATTCACATAATGACTCTTTTTTGTTGAAAAACCTTTTCCGTTTAATGTTGAGCTTTTCTTGTTGCTCAATTTTCTTGCCATGGAATGGACTATAAATTTAGATTCATTTTGTTCGAGTCAATTCAAGTTTTCCTCATGAAATTCAAGTTGACCTTTGTACTTACCAGCAGCGATAATGTTGAATATACATGGATCTTTTTGAATTCCAGCCGAGTTTTCAGCTTGACATATAACTGAACCATAATCGAAACGTGATTTTGGCTCGTAAAGAGCAACACTTTTGGTACCATTTGATGTAACATTTGTTATAACGTGACTTTCATGGGAATTGTTGAATATCCATTTAAATTTAACCTCAACAGGATCAGACTCGACTTCACACAAGATTCGAACCGATTCATTGCGAGAAACTCCATAAGTTAGCCGTTGATTGCTCTTACAAATTGGTGAAACTAAATTACAATTCAAGTTCCATTTCCATCCAATTGAACCATTCCAAGTCGAAAAGATTATTGCAAAAGAAAAGAGAAAAAATCGAAAATTTAGTGACATTTTCATTCGATATTCATGGTCAGATTTTGCGTGAAAACAGTGAAAAGAAAACAAAGAAAATTGGAAAAGTTTGATTATGATTGAAAGATCAAGAATAAAGCTATAAAAATGATTCGATTCAAGATTCCCAGCTGAATTGTTCTCGATTTACAATGAAAATGTTGGAATAAAAGTGAGCCAAAACATTTCTCCTCAGGCAATTAGAGTGTTTATTTTGTCTTGTCTGATAAACATTGATTGAACTGTTTGCTTGCAATGAAAGGCAAAAGTTCAACATTTGTAATTAAAAGGCAACTCAGTTGCAACCAATTAACACAAGTTTGGTGAGAAGAAAATTTTCATGCGAAAAAAAAGACAGAATCAACATTCGACAAAATTTTCGACAAATGAATAACTTTGGTGAACCTGAATTATGTTTATTCATTTCCGTAGATGAAAGGAAAATGTAGAAATTTTGCATTTCTGTTACCTTTGTATTAACTTTGAAAACTCGAATTTTTGGTGTTCTTCTTTTCAAGAAAATGTTTCATGTTTTATCTCGAATTCAACAGTTTAAACAGAAATATTGGTTTCCATCAAGTTTACCTTATCATATTGTTCAAGTTTATTCAGAACAACAATCAAATTGTTGAACAAGCAAAATAACAAATTGGTGAACATTTAATGTAAAGAAGAAGAAAAGGTTTTCTCAAGATTTTGGTTAAACAACATTTTATTATTATCATTATTTCAAGCTTAACTTATTCTTGTTTATTGATAATACTCGTTACCATTTGAGTTATCTTTTTCATTCTCTTTGTGTGTTTTCCATTCTTATTACATGAAATTGATGAGGGAAAATGCAAAAATGAAAACAAATTTGGAAGGGAAAAAGAAGAGAAAAAGAAAATGCGCCAAAAATAAATCCAAACTGGGAGGGAAAAATATGAATATCAAGGAGATTTGAGAAGTTTGGAACATTTCGTTTTCTTTTTGCATGTAAAAGGAAATCGTATTGAACCTAATTTATTATCTATTTTTATATATTGATTTCAATTTGATATTTAATAGAATGAAATGTTGGAGCGAATAAAGAAAAAACAGTGAAAACCATTCAGGTAATGTTGAAATATTATTCAATATGGAAAAGTTTCTATTCGCTATTCTTTTCGATTACAAAATTGATTGAAAAGTTTTCTTGGTTTGACCATTAAATTGCTAATGTTTCAAGAGAATCGCTTTTCCATTATCATCTATTGATTGTTGCAAAACTGAAAAACAAGTTGAGATGAAATGGTGAAGCAAAAATTTTGAGAAAAGAGAAAAAAATCATTTTTTTCCATTTTGAGTGATTTTACCATTTTCTAAGTGACCATCAATACATTTCCTCTGCTTAGGTTATTCAAAGTTTCAAATCGCAAAATTTAGAATGAAAATGCACTTAAAGGGAGAAGAAGAAAAATTTGGTCAAATTTCGAGTTTTTACGAGATTAAAATGAAAACTCGGGAGAATTCATTTCACCGTAAATGTCTAGTTTTAATTTAATTACGATCTTTTGCATCTTCACACAGCAATGAACTGGCGTAAAATAATGAGCAAAAAGTTACGATTAATGAGTCAATTTCATGATGTGCTGAGCAATTTTCTGTGTCATTGTGAGCTGTGATTGGATGCAATTTTCATTGAAAGAAATGCTTCGATTAGAAAGTTTACTTGGATCGTTGATTTTGGTAACAATTTCCAAAACTCGAACCTAGACAAGAGAGCAACAGTTGTCTGAGAAAAGTAAATCAATAAAAAAGTCGAGTTTTGACAACATTTTTCTCACCAATTTTTCACCAAAACTCAAAAGACTTTTCTAGTTTCGAATTCAAATTTTATTCTTTTTCACATTCTTTTCCAGTGATACCGTCAGTTGTGCGCCTAAAAATCGGAGTTTGAAATCGATCGAAATTCGGAGTTTTATTTTTGCCTAATCATGACAAAATTTTTCTTCATTTCGATACAACGTTCTGCTGCAAAAACGCACGAAACTTTGCCGATTGGTGTGAAGAAGAATCAATCAGCCGATGGAAAATAGAAAACTTTATTTGCGAAAAAAAGTTGAATAAAATTCTACTGTTGACCATTAACGATACATTTGAATGGGCATTCTGTTCGAGAAGAACCTTTCAAGTTGATCAAACAGCTGAAATCCAACAAGGTAAACATGAAAGAAGCGAAAAGCTTTTGAACAAAAAGTGAAGCAAATGAAAAGTTAGACAATGAAATGACCTGAAAGCAACTTCTTTTTATTCCCATTCAAAGGTTATCATTTTTTGTGTTGCCAACAGTTTTGCTTGGATAGTTATAAGTTACCAAGAAAAGGATGGACTTGGAAAGGAAATTTGTTCAACATAAAAGTGGTCATTTGTCAATTAAATGATTGATATCAATCTTCACATTCCTTCATGTCTTGCACAGAAGACTAGAAAAGAATTATGTATTTTCCTTTTCATGTCAAACCAACGAAAATTCAATTCTTTCATTTTACCCTCGTTTAACACAGACACACACTTTTACCATGAAATGTTGTAATATTGGATTAAAATCATCATCATCATCGACGAAAAACCAAAACATGCTCATTTCTCAATCGTCAAGTTCACAAGTTTTCTGCAAACTTTCATCTTCTCCAAAAATTTTCACCTCTTCACATAATTGTCACCATATTTACCTGTAATAAGAGAAGAAAATTTTCATCCTTCACGGTAACTTCATCTTGCAAATCAATTGTTTGGAATCAAATGATTCACTATAAGATTTAGTTCAACGGATTACACCGAAAAACAAACTCGTCATTTATTTACTTTGACCCTGCAAACAATCTGATTGTGAAAATGTTTGGAATGCAGTAAAAGTGTGCTTTTTCACTTTTACCTTTTACTTTCACATCACTGGCCACAACTTCAATTCATCTTTGATTCATCAGAAATCATCTTTTTTGACAAGAAAAAGTCAAGAGTCAATGTTTTTATCACAAATAGAGTCAAGCCTTGCAAGTGAAAACACGAATAATAGTGTAAGAGAAGATGAAGAAAAAATCGAAGAACCTTTTCTCTCTCTCACTGCATATTCATCTTCATCTTCAATCTTGATCCATTCTTCTTGAAATGCTTTATCTGAGTAATAATATTTCACCAAGGTAGGCAGAAAATGAAAACAAAGCAGAAGCAGAAAAAGAGAAGAGCAGAAAAAAACGAAAAAGAAAAGTGCACATCAACATTTTCCATTGATAACCATGGAAACGATAAATCAGTAGCTTCCAATGTGAGAAGAAATTTATCACCATTTTGTTCGCGCTTGATTCATTTTTGGGTGAAAATGCAAAAAGGTGAAATGCAGAAAAAAAGGCAAAAAAGTTGTTGTAAACAATAATGATAATATCCAAAGTTGAAGTATAAAGTTGAATGTGAAAAATGAACTTGTAATGTAAGTAAAGGGAACAAGAAATGCAAGCATTTTGTGATTTATTTAGTTTACAAGTTTTTTTCAGGGAAAAAAAAGTTATCTCTTGTAAAGCTGACAGGTGTCTATGAATTTTGCAACACTTTTTTGCTTCTACTGCTTTGTCTGGTTCATTACAGCTCCTCTTTACTTTGCATTATTTTCACATGATTTCATTTCATTCCATTTAACTGTATAAACTGTTGATGGATGATAATTTACATAATTGTGTCCACTAATGAACATTTCAGATGGATATGTTTTTTGCTACCTTTTTCAACTTGCTTGCAAATTGAACATTTCCATGATAAATGTCAGAGTAAAATGTTTTTACATCGGGAAAAAGGTAAAAACATGAATACAATATTAATTTTCAATTATGCAAATCACAAGTTTGTTGCACAGATAAATTGAGTTCAGTTTTTGGCAACTTTTGTTTCCCTTCTCTTTAAACAGATCAATCAATGGAAGGCAATTTATTTCAATGAATGTCATTAATCTTTATTTGCCTTTCATCATTCAACTCGCCAAATTTAATTTAATTTATCTCATCTAAAACCTCTTTATTGTTTCAAGATAATAATTCATTTATTTTGTAAATTTATTATGCGATATATTATGAAAAAAGTCAGAAAGCCATTTATTTGAACAATTATGATAAAGACTGGGATTTAAATTATTTTTCAATTTCAAGAGCTTTACTCAAATCATTTAGAAAATTACAAAAATTTAGCTTTTTTGTGGAAAGATATGGGGTTACAACTTTTCTTACCTGTAACCACCGAAATGATAAGGTAAGTAATGGCTTGGGCACTGCATCGAGAAGATATGAGATATAAACTCGAAGGCGAAGCTCGAGGACTTTATCTTACAACTTATGTGGTTTAACTGATGTGTAATCTAATCTCATCACTTAATTTTCAAAACAAATGGCTTTTCCATTGCTTTCAATGGTTCTTGTTTTCATTTTGGGTTATCAGTTATGCCTTTACATACAAAAAAGTGACTTTTTTATCAGGTCTAATCACTCTCTTTATCATTGTCTTTAGAGCGAACTGTGCTTAGTTTATGCTTGTTAGTGAACTATCAAGTTGACCAACTTCAAAACAGTTCCAGTTTATGCAATCATTTGGGTAAATACTGGTTACCTCCAACATATTGATTCAACTCGAAAGCATGAGATAAAACAACCGGGCTTTGCCCTCGAGTTCATATCGAGTGGTTTAACTACTAAATTTTTTCAACTTTGAGCGGAGTCTTAGTGGTTTTTAGAGTCTAGCTCACGATGCACAGGAGGCTAAATTATGAAGTTATAGCCCGGAGTCTTGAGAAATCAAAAACTACGCTTTGAAACTGAACAAATTATTTTGTCAAACTTTTAACTAATGCACTGTTTAGCATAATACTCTGAAAATTTACATTCACGAGTTTAAA